GCTCAGTGGATGGATGGGAAAGAGAGGGGTTCGAATCCCCCTGTGTGCAAGAGCATGACTTCTCAACTATTTTCATGCAAGCTAATATTTATATGTGTTGCCGCAATGTGTACAGACTCATCCGCAATGTGTTGCCGATAATATTTATATGGTCTTTAAAATTTCTGCAAGCTAATATTATCTTGGATAAATTTCCATATAAAAAAAATTCCCTAAGGATAAATTTAGGCATATGTTTAATGTTATTTATTATTTTATTATGGAGTTGTATTTTTTTATATTATATTATGGAGTTGTGTTATTATTCACTATTGAGTTTTAATATTGTTCATTATATGTGATATTAAGTTTTAACTTTAATAGGAATTCTTTCTATGTGGTGCTAAGTTACTCATATATTTTATTTTTGTTTTTTTGTTAAGCTCATATATCTTATCATATGTAATATATTGTAGTAAATTATTATAACTAAAAAATTATGGTGTGTTTAATTTTTTTTCATTAATTACTACATATTTTCTAAAGACACAGTGTATGTCACGTCGCTACATAATCAACTTAAATCACTCAAACCCACCATGCCATGCATTTCATTCCAATTTTTTGTGATAAAATAATAGACAATTGACTAAATAAACATCCTCTAAAGTTTCAATAAAAATTTCCAAGTTTTTCTCACAATTTCCGTGATTTTTATTAAATTTTTATCGATATCGATATTTCCTCGATATTTCCATCGATATATCCGTATTTTTGGACCACCGATATTTCTGAAACTCTCGATATTTTAGACCTTGAGATGCACAAGACGAAAGTTGTTTCAGTCCAGAAGGAATTGTGGACAAGGTTATACTTGTTGGCTATGGTTGCTGGCCAGGTGTGGAAGGTATCAGCAATCAAGCAACTGATTGAAGGGTCAGATTGGACTAAATTTCCAAAAAGTTCATCAACATGTGCAGGGAAGACATGCAATAGACCCTCAAGATATTGATCAAGATTCTAAGACCGGTTGAAGGCTAGTGGAAAACCATCACTCACTGTTCTGTAGCGAATGTCTAGACCGGACTTTCGCGCTGCAGCAAAGATGTCTTCTTGACCTTCACTGCCATTGGATTCGGATTTGGTTATCTGGTGGTGAATAATTTGGGTGTTGACAAAAGTGATGGTGAAACCATTTGAGGCAAGCTTCATGGCCAGATGGGTAAATGGGATAACATGGCCTTGGCGAGGGAGAGGCACCATGATTGCATGAGGCTTTGAATGCTTGTCCTCCGTGGCTCCCTCTGTGTCTGTTTCTCTCTCTGTTTGTGAGTTTGTGATCTGTGTCTGTTTGTGGCTCTGTGTGCTTATACAAATACACACACAAAGTTTTGTTTTCTTTCTTAGGATAAGGGGTGGTGGGGCAGATGTCTAATTTTCCACAAACTGTTTTTAAACTACAAACAAAACAGTGTCTTTCTAAACCAAGAAAATGAATCACACTTTGGATTCCTGTGGACAAAAATCAAAAAGTTCATTGACAATATTCTCAAAGTAGTAGAAAGACTTGTTATAATTTGGTTTGTGCTAATTTAGAGGTTGCGCTAATGACAAAGAAATGAGGAAGCAGAACCACATAGTAGCAATGTGGAAGTCACACTCGTTTTTGAATTTCAGCCTTTACATCACCAATGAATTGAGATAAATTCTTTTGTGATGATCCATTTACAGCCAATGCATCCTCCAATGTTTGCTTAACCTTCTTGCTTTGCTTCTGCAATCCTTTACCCAATTTTCCACTCATCAGATGGTTGATCTTCTTTGCTACCTCCACCCTTGTGATGGGTTTCACCCTATCACAGAGATTTAATCCAATCCCCCAATCATCAACGACTAGTTTCCTATTGGTCACTTGATCAGTCCACAGAGGGAAGCACAGCATGGGAACACCACACCACATACTTTCAAGTATGGAGTTCCATCCACAATGAGTTAAGAACCCTCTTGTTGTTGGATGTGAAAGCACCTCAATCTGAGAGCACCATGGCACCATCAACCCTCTATCTTTAATCTCATTCTCGAATCCAACGGGTAGGATATAGGTTTCATCATAACTTGTAGTATTAGGGCGAAGTACCCAGATGAAACTCACTTTACTAAGCAAGAGCCCATGAGCTATTTCTTCAATATCATTAAAAAATTAGAATGAAACGCATGGCATGATGAGTTTGAGTGATTTAAGTTGATTATGTAGCGACGTGATAAACACTGTGTCTTTAGTGATTTGAGTGATTTAAGTTGATTATGTAGCGACGTGACAAACACTGTGTCTTTAGAAAATATGTAGTAATTAATGAAAAAAATTTAAACACACCATAATTTTTTTGTTATAATAATTTACTACAATATATTACATATGATAAGATATATGAGGTTAACAAAAAAAACAAAAATAAAAGATATGAGTAACTTAGTACCATATAGAAAGAATTCCTATTAAAGTTAAATTTTTTTTTTTTTTGGGGACGAAATTATAGTTAAAACTGTGTTAGTATGAAAATTGTATTGTCATTTCCTAGACTGTAGCATAGGTTGGGAATTAGTGTATGAATGTTGTTTACTAGAAGTTTTGGCGCAACACATTCAATCCCAGATTTTCGAAGCATGACTTGATCGATATAAGGAACTTGATTTCAGGTAAATCATGACATAATCATGAATTCATTATAGGATTCCTAGTTGGAGTTATCAAGTATTTTTATGTTAGCCTTATTTTTAATAGGATTATATTTTATCTCTTGAGATTACTTTCCTAGTTGAACTCTATTTTGATTTAAGTTAAAATATTATGTTTTCATCATCTTGGACTTGAAAAGTATGTTTCAATGAATATCCTATTTGGCTTCGTTGTTTACATGCTGATATACATTGTTTCATTGGATAACAATTGATTGTTGAAAAACCATCTTTTATAATACAAAAGCTGACGAAATTATAATAGAAATCTAAGAGAATCAAATATGATAAATGGCAAGAGATTGAGCCCGTGGCTTTGTGCTCTTCTCTTGCAAAAAGGAGATTGTGGTATGTATAAGAATATGATGTGCTTCTTTGTTTGAGGTAGCTTTCCCACATTTTGTTTGAGCATCTAAAATTCCTAAAAAAGCTGTTGTGCATATATTTGAGATAAATCATCAAATGTTCCATGTTTACTTGGTGATTTATCAAACACTTTAATCATTCATGTTGCATACATATGCATGTTGATGACTCATACAGTTGAGGGCACCAAGACTGTTGTGGCGTTTATCCTTCGGCGAGCTTGAAGCAATTGTGACCAGTATTACATTCAACATGAGTGTCGAAGATCATTCCGTGACAGAAGTTGAGTTACGAAGAAGTCGGTAAAACATTATCTAGAATGTGTCTAGGATGTGTGTGAGTACTTCTTGTAATCATCGTTCTATAGTGGATTTGTGTTGGACTACGGAGTCTCGTGGATTTTCCCCAGAGGTGGGGTTTTACCACGTAAAATAATTCTTTGCGTGTTCTTTTATTTTATGTTCAGCACGTTTCAGGATTGATATCAATCCTGCTACTGAAGTTCATTTTTTGTTTATTGATTATAATATTAAATTGGCCTATTCACCCCCCTCTAAGCATTTTTAGTCATCCTACAGGTATTTTCATACTGTGTTACACAAAATAAAATCTGCCCTTTGCACTACATGGAATGCCTTGTGTAGGGCTCAGTGCATCGATGTTGATATATCAGCTTCTTGGAGGTGTGACATCAAGTCCTTTGGTTCAATAGCCTGCACCCCCGGTATGTAATCGATGGTGTCCTCTTGATTATCTAATATATCAACCAAAAAAATTGAGATTCGTAATAGGATGTTTTCTCTTGTCAGAATGTCAATGTGAAGTATTGATCAGTGAATTCTTTTAAAACTTGTGATTCTAATTGACAATCTAGCAATATAACATGTAAGATGTGGGAACCGAATTAAATCACCCTAGGTCAAATAATTCCTTCCATTTGGGGATTATTTGACCTAATTGGGAGTTACCCAATTAAATTGGCAATTACCTAATTAAAATGGGGATTGATTTGATTCCTACCCTAATTAGGGATTTGATTTAAATCAGATAAATCAAATCCCCTCCCACATAAGACATGAGAACAAGACCGCAATGTAAGAATGTAATGTAATCAAAGCTCAAGTGAATTTATATGAAAGTTATTCTTATTACATACCATGTGAACCGTAATGACCATGTTCTCTGAGGAGGTCCAAGTGATAGCAGTTGCTTAAGACTAGAGCTGGTTCAGTCCAGAAGGAAATATTGACAAGGTTGTATTTGTTGGCTATGGTTGCTGACCATGGGTGGAAGGTATCAGCAATCAAGCAAGTGACTGAGGGGTCAGATTGGACTAAATTTCCAACGAGTTCATCAACATGGGCAGGGAAGACATGCAATAGGCCCTCAACAGCTTAGTTATGGTTCTGAAATCGGTTGAAGGCTAGTGGAAAACCATCACTCACGGTCTTGTAGCGTATGTCTAGGCCGGATTTGCGCACTGTGGCAAAGATGTCATCTTGATCTTCAGTGTCATTGGGTTGGGATTTGGTTATCTGGTGGTTAATGTGTTAGGTGTTGACAGAAGTGATGGTGAAACCGTGTGATACAAGCTTCGTGGCCAGATGATATGTGGGAGAAGATGCCCTTGGAGAGGCATAGGCACCATGATAGCATGAGGCTGTGAATGCTTGTCCTCCATGGCTCTCTCTCTCTGTGCATCTCTCTATGTCTGCGAGTATGTGGTCTTTTATTGGCGCGAGAAAGAGGGCAAGTGCTGACATTACAAAAGCTAATAGACTGATAAAAGCGAAAGCACATCTTTTGCAATGTGTGGTCTGTATGTGTGGTCCGATGAGGTGAACTGCTTTTAGCACAAGGTGTGGGGCTAATGTTCCAATTTCCCATAAACTATTTTAAGAATTTAAACAAACAGTATCTTCTTTCATCAGAGACTAGAACACAGCTCAATAATATTGATTTAAAACATGATAATAGATCCTCAGATATGCCAAATTCTTGTGTATTTTGGATTTCACATTGCTAATGAAGCGTTTTATGCTAATGATGATTTAATGACAATGAGATGATGAAGCAGAACCACAAGATTGTAGCAATGCGGAAGTCAGTTTCGTGTCTGAACTTTGGTCTTCACATCACTTAGGAATTGAAAGAAATTCTTCTGTGATGACCCATTTAAAGTCAATGCATCCTCCATTGTTTGCCTCACATTTTTTATCTCCTTCTGCAAACCATGGCCCAATTTTTCACTCATCACATGGTTGATCTTCTCTGCCACCTCCACTCTTGTGATGGGCTTTACCCCATCACAAATATTCAGTCCAATGCCCCAATCATCAACTACTAGTTTCCTATTAGTGATTTGGTCAGTCCATAGAGGAAAACACAGCATGGGAACACCACACCACATACTTTCAAGTATGGAATTCCATCCACAATGCGTTAAGAACCCTCCTACTGCCGGATGTGAAAGCACCTTAATCTGAGAGCACCATGGCACTATCAGCTTCTTGGAGGTGTGACATCAAGTCCTTTGGTTCAATAGCCTGCACCCCCGGTATGTAATCGTTGGTGTCCTCTTGATTATCTAATATATCAACCAAAAAAATTGAGATTCGTAATAGGATGTTTTCTCTTGTCAGAATGTCAATGTGAAGTATTGATCAGTGAATTCTTTTAAAACTTGTGATTCTAATTGACAATCTAGCAATATAACATGTAAGACTGTCAAATCCAACGGGTAGGATATTGGTTTCTTCATAACTTGTAGTGTCAGGGCGAAGTACCCAGATGAAGCTCACTTTACTAAGCAAAAGTCCATGAGCTATTTCCTCAATATCTTTTGTAGTAACTTGAGCATAACTACCAAATGAAATAAACAAAACTGAACCATGAGGCTTGGTTTTGAGCCATTGAGTACAGTCAAACTCAGACATCAGATTGGTAGCCACAATAGTCTTAGTAGGTTTACTGGGGAAGACAGGGCCAATTGCATATGTGGGCTGCTTCTCGTGCAAGGCTGAAAGGGTCTCAGATTCAAGTTCTTGCACTGTATTAATCAAAATAAAATCTGCTCTTTTAACTTCATGGAATGCCTTGTATATGATTCTGAGCATTGGGGATGATAAATCAGCAGCTTGGAGATATGACATCAAGTCTTTTGGTTCAATTGCCTGCACACCTGGTATGTAATCGATGTTGTCCTCACGTTTATCTAATAGGTCAACCGAAAAAAACACAGATAGATGTAGTTATATAACTTTGCAAATGTTCTTGTCATCATGCTGTGAATCTTGTGGACTAAACATTCGAACAAGACTCCACGCGATCAGATGGTTTAAACTTTAGATTGACAATATGAGATTTCATGTTGTCAAATTAACTAGAAACCATTCCATATGTAAGTTAAGCAAAAGTTTGGGAGATTTATGAGAGGGTGCATACCATGAAAACCAAAATGACCATTTTGTTTGAGGAGGTCCAAGTGATAATAGATGCTTAGGACTAAAGCTGGTTCAGTCCAAAAGGAAACGTTGACAAGGTTGTACTTGTTGGCTATGGTTTCTGGCCAGGTGTGGAAAGTATCAGCAATAAAGCAAGTGATTGAAGGGTCAGATTGGACTAAATCTCCAACCAGTTCATCAACATGGGCAGGGTAGACATGTAAATGACCCTCAAGACATTGGTCAAGGTTCTGAAATCGGTTGAAGGCTAGTGGAAAACCATCACTCACTGTTTTGTAGCGTATGTCCAGTCCGGACTTGCGCGCTGCGGCAAAGATGTCATCTTGTTCAGTTTTGTTGTTGGGTTGGGATTTGGTTATCTGGTGGTGAATATCTTGAGTGTTGACAAAAGTGATGGTGAAACCATTTGAAGCAAGCTTCACTGCCAGATTGGTAAATGGGATAAGAACCCTCCTACTGCCGGTTGTGAAAGCACCTTAATCTGAGAGCACCATGGCACTATCAACCCTCTGTCTTTAATCTCATCGTCAAATCCAACGGGTAGGATATTGGTTTCTTCATAACTTGTAGTGTCAGGGCGAAGTACCCAGATGAAGCTCACTTTACTAACCAAAAGTCCATGAGCTATTTCCTCAATATCTTTTGTAGTAACTTGAGCATAACTACCAAATGAAATAAACAAAACTGACCCATGAGGCTTGGTTTTGAGCCATTGAGTACAGTCAAACTCAGACATCAGATTGGTAGCCACAATACTCTTAGTAGGTTTACTGGGGAAGACAGGGCCAATTGCATATGTGGGCTGCTTCTCGTGCAAGGCTGAAAGGGTCTCAGATTCAAGTTCTTGCACTGTATTAATCAAAATAAAATCTGCTCTTTTAACTTCATGGAATGCCTTGTATATGATTCTGAGCATTGGGGATGATAAATCAGCAGCTTGGAGATATGACATCGACAAACTTGGACCGCTCTTTTACAAGGTTCACTAGGGCCATCTTTAGTCATTGGGGGCTTCTCCAATGCGAACTCTAAGATGCGAACTCGTTGCGAACTTTTGTTTTTAACCGTTGGAAGAAGAGCGAAAATAAAAAAAACACGGATACATGTAGTTATATAACTTTGCAAATGTTCTTGTCATCATGTTGTGAATCTTGTAGACTAAACATTCGAACAAAACTCCACGCAATCAGATGGTTTAACCTTTAGATTGACAATATGAGATTTCATGTTGTCAAATTAACTAGAAACCATTCCATATGTAAGTTAAGCAAAAGTTTGGGAGATTTATGAGAGGGTGCGTACCATGAAAACCAAAATGACCATTTTGTTTGAGGAGGTCCAAGTGATAGTAGATGCTTAGAACTAAAGCTGGTTCAGTCCAAAAGGAAACGTTGACAAGGTTGTACTTGTTGGCTATGGTTTCTGGCCAGGTGTGGAAGGTATCAGCAATAAAGCAAGTGATTGAGGGGTCAGATTGGACTAAATCTCCAACCAGTTCATCAACATGGGTAGGGTAGACATGTAAATGACCCTCAAGACATTGGTCAAGGTTCTGAAATCGGTTGAAGGCTAGTGGAAAACCATCACTCACTGTTTTGTAGCGTATGTCCAGTCCGGACTTGCGCGCTGCGGCAAAGATGTCATCTTGTTCAGTTTTGTTGTTGGGTTGGGATTTGGTTATCTGGTGGTGAATATATTGGGTGTTGACAAAAGTGATGGTGAAACCATTTAAAGCAAGCTTCACTGCCAGATTGGTAAATGGAATGACATGGCCTTGGAGAGGGAGAGGTACCAAGATTGCATGAGGCTTTGTGCATTGATTGTCCTCCTCCATGGCTCTGTTTCTGTGTCTGCTTTAGGAAGTAGACGGGTTCTGAAATCACAAAAATCTGATCTGTGGCCAGATGACTCCCATTCAGTCAAGTCAACTATTTTTAGCAGATAACGTAAAGGGGTGTATTATCTTTTATTTCTATATGGTAAGACAATATTCCAAATTTCTTGTAACCTCTGGTTTGCTCCATGATTCAACAAGTTGCCTCACCTCACGTCCTTTTATTCTCTTTATTTGAATAAACAATTCAGTGAGACAAACTTGGACTGTTCTTTCACAAGGTTCACTAAGGCCATCTTTAGTCATAAGGTTAAATGTCGTCTAGGGTTATAAATTTAACCCCTCAAAATATTAATTTTTTAAAGAATAGTGTAATGCTAAATTTTTACATCTCCAGCCATGCAGGGCTATATTTTAGGGTCTTTTAGATTTTATTATTTTGAGAAAAACTATAGTAAAATACTCATACATTTCACAACTATGTGTTGTTTAATTTAATTAAACTACTATTTAGAGACAATATTCCATATATGACACGTATACGTTGGTAACATTTAAAAAGGCTATTTTAAAAATAAATAAAAAATCCTAACAGCTAACTGACGTCATCGATGACATCAACGCACCTTTAATATTGGCTGTTGGATATGCATTTGCATGAGATGTTTCGTGCTCTTACCACACTTGATAATTTCTCTTACAAGCATGGAACCCACAAAAAAATTTGGCCTAGGCCAAAGCTGGGCTACAATTGGCCTAGTTTGAGGACTAAATGGCCAAATGTGACCCTCCAAATTTGGCCGAATTTTTTTTTAGCCCATGACTGAAGATGAGTTTTATATTATTTTAGGACTATATTTGGCCTATGGCCATGGCCGGAGAAACCAACAAGGCAACTACAAAACCCGACAAAGACTTCATCACACATGGATGATGGAACCCATCAAGATAACCATTTTCATATGGTTCACTGACCAACAAGACAAACTACAAAAGGAGCCCACCTCAGACCAAAAAAGTTTACTTTATTTAATTATTCTGACCCAAAAAATAAAAAGGACAGAACAGATGAAGTAGTAATCTTGGATTTCCTTCAGTTAAATCAATTCATTAGATAATCAACGATGTCCTCGCAATTAACTAATGAATCAACCAATAAAAACATAAGCATGTAAATAGTATCAATAAGTTTATGTCGTCAGACTGTAAATCTAAACTAAAAATGTCGAACAAGACTCAACATAATCAAAGCTAAGGAGATTTGAATAGGGAGAGGTACCATGATTGCATGAGGCGTTGAGCTAAAATTGTCCACGGCAAGTATTCATATTCTCAACTTTTATTTTGGGTTTTAATCCCCAAGTCTCTACCACCACAAATTGAATAGCCACAAGGATGCAATAATATAAGACCATTATTAGCTCTACCAGATAGTTCTTAATGATTAACTAAACATGAGGCTTTGAATTGTCCAAGCCAAATTATGTTTTCGGTCCATGTAGGATGGGCAAAGTTTTATTTTGGTACATGTAATTTTAATTTTTGCAATTGTTGGAATGCACTCACAGTGTGGCCCTATTGAATTTAATTTTGGTTATTAAATTACTTTGATGCCCTATTGAGTGTTTTAGGCTTTTTTATGAGGTTTTGGGATTGGGTTTGTTTTAAGAAATTAATGGCAATTTTGTAATTTAAAATAAGTTAAAAGTCTTTTTGTTATGCTGTAAATGGACTTTAGATGTGTTTCCAAAATCTATTTCATATAGGGTTTTTTTTTATAATTTGGGATCCTATATTGGGTATAATAGTGAATCTCTCAATATTTTACGCGAGAACCTCTTCTTCATCAGCTCTGCTTTTCCAAGTTAATGAATATCACCTCATAAGAAATATTCGTTTGCCTTTTGCACTGTAGTTCTTGAGGAGCTGGAACAAACATGTTTGAGGGTTCGAAACAAACTGGCTTGTCAAATAACAGGGTCAAACTCAAACTGGCACCCAAATAGTGGTGGATTCAGAAATATTTCCCCACGGTCGACATAAAAGTTACCAAGTTCACAATTTATTTTTGAACAAAAAATGCCCCTAAAAATTAAAATGCCAATATCATTCATGATTCATAGAAGAAACAACGTTAGCTAAAATTGTCTACGGCGAGTTTTCATATTCTCAACTATTATTTTGGGTTTTAATCCCCAAGTCTCTACTACCACAAATTGAATAGCCACAAGGATGCAATAATATAAGACCATTATTAGCTCTACCAGATAGTTCTTAATGATTAACTAAATCTTTTCTCGTCATTGCATTGAATGGATTCTTACAAAGTACAAATGACTTGTGCACCCAAAAAACCATCTACACTACGAATCAAATTAAGGACACTGAAATTTGGTCATTTGATCTGATAATAAATTGAAATTAAGCACACTATACATCTACACCATCTTCCAAATAACAAAAGCCTTCACTTCGTTCTGAATCAAACTGCTGTCATTTGAGAATCAAATGGCTGCCAATCTTTCTGCAAACTCCACCAAACTCATCTCTCCTTCACCCACCGATGGAGCCAAGCAAGCATTGTCCATTTGATCTACCAACATGTTTGATGAAGCGAGGAGTCCATGAATGAAAGAGCTTGGCTTTGTTAAAACTATGAATGATGTTCTTCAAGGTCCTCTGTCCCTTTCCATTGGAACACAAAATGCAAGCTTCCATTGGGCATGAAAGACCAAAAGCAGCTCATAGTTGGAATTGTCATGAAATCAGAAAGAATTGACAGAAAACGAACAAACAAAACAAAATTGTATGAAGAACCACAGAATTTCACAAAATGAACAAACGACCGATTCCTACAAATTCTTAGACGCTGAAGACTAAGGGAGCAAAAGCGAAATCCATTCCACAATATTTCTCCCACTCAAATTTAACCTCAAAGCATTTAAGAATTTCATCATGACAAAGGAGATAAATTACAGTTTAGAACAAGTGATAATCTTAACTAAACTGAATTAAGATAAAGAAAAATAGATTACAACGGTTGAATCCATAAAAAGCACTTACTGCGCCACCAAGAACAGAGCCAATCTGTAACATGACACAATCACCCCGACACACAAGATCAGCAGCCCAAATTTCACTCACAAACTAAATTTAATCTCAAACCACATATATAGATACAAGCGAGGTAAAAAACAACATGACTACACATTGTTCATCCAAAAAACAATCTCTGAGATCTGAATTTGATTCCAGCATCAAAACAATGGAGCATTTTCATAGCGACAAAGAGAAGAAACCCTGAAAAGAAAAAATATTCAGCTCTACAAGCAAATGCTGCTGAAGTACCAAAAGAATTATATGATGCACAAACCACCAAAAACTAACCAAAAAACACAGACACACAAAAACAAGTAAAAACAAAGAGAGAATTAATTTGGATGGGGGTAAGCCCGCTTAGCCATCACTGCCCCAAGAAAGGGGGCTCTGACTGCGGGCAGTCTTCACCGCAGTGGAAAGAGAAGACACCAGCGAGTGACTGCTGAGCTGAGCCGCCAGCAGCCCTAAAACCCTAAACCCTAAGCAGGGTAGAGGGCAAGGGAGGGTGGCTCAAGCCTCAAGCACTCTGTTATGCCCTCTCTCCCTCTCTGCTCAGATAAGATCAAGTAGTTTGGTCTCTAGGGTTTCTCTCCTCCCTTTTATACTCGCCCAAAACCCACACATGTGTGTTATATTGTTCCACTTTAGATCTGCTGTGCCCTTTGTGTTTTTTTTTTTTTGGTTGAAACTTAACCCCCCAATTTTTAATGAAATGAAAATAATGTAGACGTGGATAGGCCAGATTGTCAAGGTAATGAGTCGGTTCTTTAGCACTCAAGTTCGAGTCTCCCTCTTCATAAATTAGACTAATTTAAAATAGTCTAAATTATAGCTTTGACCATCTCCAATGGAGGTAGCAACCGTTTTTTTTAAAGTGTCATTTGCTAATTCATGTGGCACTTTGATACTAAAATTCGCTACTTTAGAACTTTGTCTCTCCAACTTGTCTTTCAAATATATTGGGATGAATAATTAAACAATAATTTTGGCAAAAATAATTAAACAATAATTTTGGCAAAAATAATTAAATAGTAGTTTTGATTAAAATATTTTGCTATAGGTAACTCACTTGTTAAACACATGAGTTGCTACTTTTTAAATTTGCTACATGGGTTGCTACTTTCATTGGAGGAGAGAAACTCTCGTGTAATGGGGATAACAATTTTTGCTATCTCGGGTCAATAACACAATGACACGTAGGATAATTTTTCATGTGTCATTCTGTTATTGGTCAGGGATAACAAAACAGTGTTATCCCCATTATAGGTAAGTTTTTTTGCCATTAGAGGGGCTTGTATCATATCTGGCATATCAAATCACTATTGCTACCCAATATACTAATTCCATTGAAAATGCTCTTAGATTTTAAAAAATAATGAAAATAATGAAAACAGACCATTAATTGGATTCAGTCTTTACAATGTTTTTGTTTTGGAATTTTTTTTTTTAGAAGAAAATTTCATTCATAAACCATGACAAACTCCAGGGAAGGAAAGAGTACCACACATGCCATAGACTAACATGAAAGTCCGACCCAGACCACTTTTGACCACTACAAAAACCAGAAGAAAAAAAATCTACTAAAACACCAACACAGTAAATCCATAGGAGAGAATCGCAAAGCATCCCAACTTTCAAAAGAAGTCTTCTATGAGAACTCATCGTCCGTTGAACAACACAAGAACTGCATAGCACACCAAGGGTCAAAGACATGAGAGAGCACACGAAGGAAGAACACAGAGATGACAATAAAGAGGAACCCCAGAAAAGAACACCAACTCAACTTAGAGCCTGACAAACAAAACCTCATATGGCCAAGCATAGTTCTTCGGACGGTGCAGAGATGAGAAAATCTGCAAAGGATCAACACAACAGAATGAAAAACAAAACGAAAAATAAAACAGGAGACCGAACAAAGAAACCCCTCAGATGGCACACCACCATATCCTAACAACTACCACCTATGAAGCAAGGACACAAATACAGATGCATTGATGCGATATTACATGACATGGGGATACGGCAAATCTCCAAAAACTAGAATACGATACATCATGAATATTGCAATTAAAAATATATATTAA